GGAGGCAGATCTTTTAGTTATCAGGCTCCTCTCCTGTGGAACCAACTACCAGTTTTAGTCCGTGAGGCAGACACCCTGTCTACTTTTAAGGCTAGGCTGACTTAACATCCTTGTCTAAGCCCGGCGCTAAACACTGCCATTCAGAGAGAAAATAAGTGTGAAAAAATGGTGGCAGCAGTTTGATCATCTTATTACGGCCTTTCTGATTATAGACCTGGGTAACTTTTCCTAAAATGTGAAACCAAGAACTTAATTTAAGGCAACTCTGCAAACAAAAGTAGGCCAAAATTATTCCAAGATAAAGATCAGGGGAGTTAATAAATTCTTATAGAACAGAATTTTTTAGCTTTTTTCCCCCTTGTTAAATGACAACATTATTTTAAAATGACAACTAGTTTTAGTCCATGAGGCAGACACCCTGTCTACTTTTAAAGCTAGCCTTAGAACTTTCCTCTTTGATAAAGCTTATAGTTAGAGTGGCTCAGGTTATCCTGAGCTATCTCTATAGTTCTGCTGCTATAGGCTTAGACTGCTGGAGGACATAGTGACCCCTTTTTCATCATTCTGCTTCATTCTATCTCTAGCCTGAGTCACTGTGTTTATATTACACATGACTCTATTAGCTCTAAAATATACTTTTATGCAAACCGCAAGGAAATATAAATATTATTTTTCTATTTAAACATTATCGAACAGTTCTCCATTACCCAGAAAACACAAATGCATTTCTGTGCCATATATCCTCCTTGTTTCTGTTGTTAGACTATGTGAATTTACTAGTCTGCTATCGCAAGCTTGACACCACACTCTGCTTGCGTGACGTTGCCATGACAACGTGACATCCATGAACTTGTGTTGAATACAGTAGGCCTCAAAATAATTAAATTGGAAATAGAAAAGCCCTTTATTGTCCAACAATGGGGAGATTCTGGATCCGAATACACGCAATCGTAAAATTAAAAAAAGTCAAAATCATTTCCTAAAATATTCGTAAAAAATTTATAAATTGTGCAAAGTATTTTTAATACATTCTTCTCTAAATCTCCCTCTTGCCACTAGGGGGTGCTGCAGCACCCCCAACACCACAACTTCCTGCGGCCATGACATGTTCTATGAAAAAAATCACATTTTAAAATGTTTTGGGGTTTTTTCTCATTAACAACACGGATAATAAATAACAGATAATTAGAAGGAAGATGACCCTGAAGTTTCTGCTGTAGAAACAAAATCATCTCTTTTAAATCTGTAAAATAACATGAAATAGTTCTTTTTACTGGTGAAAAGCTCACACTTCCTATATATAGTGAGGAAGGGAAGACAGTTGCAGCAGTGAGATAATCTAATGTTATTACTTGTTTTAGAGTTTATATATTCATACATACCACTAAGTACCAGTTAATCAGTTTAATACATAGACTGGTTTGTTGGTTGAACTTTGGACTTCATGTTCAACAAGGACTGATGTCCAAATCAGTTAAAATCTCTTGAATAATATTCTAAATAATAAAAACATTAAAAGTTCTTGATTTATATAGTCCTTGTTTACAATTGTCTTTATTTATAGGCCATTTTTGTTGCTTGTGGTTATGTAGAGAAAAGTCAAAATTAAATTGCGATTTTGGTTGAAATATATTTTAGGCAGAACGCGATCATTAATTAGGACACAGCGTGTCTTTTAGCATCTAATCTGCACAGCGATGAAACAGATTGATTTGTTGTTTGTATATGTTAAAAAAAAGACATGATCAATTAAACTGGGGGAAAAATTTGCAATAAATCGCAATATAAAGAAAAAAAATTGCAATTAGATTATTTTCCAAAATCGTTCAGCCCTAATATCTATTCCATTTTTTTTTTTCAAATAGTAATCTTCCTTCTTTATTTACTTTATTTTTCAAACATTTTTATCAAACTTTTTAATTCAATTAAAGTTTTTTATTTTTTTTTTACAGATTTTAAATTTCCATAATTTATTTTTCAAATTTTGCATTTTCTGACTGAGATCTATGAATTGTCTTTTATACGAAATGCCTTTTTCAGATCACATTATCTTCACTCAGGTAGCTCGTTTTTGACCAATGAATCTGTTGTTGCTAACATCCCGCAGACCAATAGGAACGCGTCTTTTCTCCTCACTCTAGTAGAAGGACCGCCCCCAAAAGCAGAGCTGGTCAGCTATAAAATATGGTTTGGCCTTCTTGGTTGTGGTGGCCCAACATGTTATTGCGAGACATTCAGGATACCAGAGACATACATCCACCGTTTCAAAAATGAATAAGGCAGAAAGAATTAATCAAGCTTAAAAAATAAATAAATATTGGGTCATGTCATCTGATCTGCTGTTTGAAAAAATATGAAATGAAAAAAAAAAATACAAATCTGGTATTGTAAAGACCGAAATATTAAGCATACAAAAAATAACTTGTCAATGAAGGGAACTGATATTTACATTAGTTATGCATAGTTGTTATTTTATATTTTCTTGATCTCCAAATAGCTCAGCAGATAGAAAATAAGAAAAAAAAACAACAACACTCGTGCTAATCCAATATGTCTTATTTCATCATTAATGTAGGTGTGAGTATCCTGAGCGCTTTTGGTTAAAAAGTCAGATCTTAATTAAGTAAAGTTACTGTCATGATGGATATCAGGGAGGCCCAATATGCAGAACACTGACGACACGGATGGAAAGTTTAACAGAGTTTATTGGCAAATTCACACATATAATAAAGACTGATGCAATGGTTCTGGGCTGGGACCGGTTCACTGGCGTCTGTGAGAAAGACAGTTTGGTTAGCGAAGGCTTGGTTGAGACTTGACTGATTGTGTTCAGGTTTGTACCTTGATGAACGTAGAGGAGGCTTTGGGAGCAGAACTGTTGGGTCCGGAGAAAGCTTGGGTTGGCAGAGTCCTTAAGCTGTTTCAGCGTCTTACTTCTAAAGGCTGTTTTGACCTTGGCTTGTGTTTGCAGCTCGGTATCCAGAGCTGCTAGGAAGTCCAGAGAGTGAGTCTTCAGGTTTGGCTCGGAGGGCTGGCTCGGCAGGTTAAGCTCTTCGAGAGCTTCACAGGAGAAAGAACAGGAAACCTCGAAGCAGAGACAAAAGGGTTAGAATCCAGGTTGGACTCAAAGGAGACTTGGTTCACTAGGGATCTATGGCTTAAGTGCTAACCAACTGATTAAGACACTGCGGCGTCGAGGCAAGGTCTGAAGGCAGCTTAAGTAGTCCAGGTCCTCCAGATGAGATCATCAGCTGCAGGTGTGCCGAGCAGCTCAGAAGGGAGGATCCAGGGCGGACTCTGCTGGAGAAAAGGTGTATTTCTCCAGCTCCCAACAGTTACTAATGAGCAATTTAATATTTTACTCATTTAGAGTAGTAATGTTAATGAAATATTACTCAAAGCATATTTGTGCATATAGACCTATATTTTGAGAAAAACTGCTTCCTTTTTCTTAATCAAGTTCATGTAACTCGTTACTACCCACCTCTACCATGATGAATTACTCACGTTGTTAAAGCAATGTTGCACTAATAATAGCTTTGTCATATTATTTACCTCCTGTTCTGATCAAATAGGAGGTAATTTAAATGAAAGGTTCGCTCATATTCAGAATTGAAACTTCTGAAAGTACTTGAAATATGAAATTATTACATACTGTTCAATAAATGATCAGTGTTTTTAATTCAGAGTAATTTTCATTTGAATGTGCTTTACTGGAGGCATCCATGTTTGTCAAAGAACACTACTGCCAGTTTGTTAGCGAAGCTGTTGAGCTTGACTCGATTGGTTCAGGTTGTCCTGATGAACGTAGGGGAGCTTTGGGGCAGACTGTGGTCCGAGAAAGCTGGGTGGCAGAGTCATTAGCTGTATCGCGTCTATTCTAAAGGCTGGTTTTGAAACATGGTTTGTGATTTAGTTCGTAATCAGATTGCTAGGTAAGTCCAAGTAGTGAGCTTCAGTTTGGCTCGGAGCTGGCTGGCGTTAAGTTTTCGAGAGCGTCACAGGAGATAAGAACAGGAAACCTCAGAAGAGAACAAAAGGTTAGAATCAGGTTGGATCAAGGAGATGGTTCACTAGGGATCTATGCTTAAGTGCCTCATGATAAGACATGCGGCGTCGAGCAAGTCTGAAGGCAGCTAAAAGTAGTCAGGTCCTCAATGAGATCACAGTGCAGGTTCAAGCCAGAAGGGAGGTCTTCCAGGCGGACTCTGCTTGAGACAAGAGTGACTTTTCAGCTCCCAACGTTACATGAGCTGCCACCTACTGGTTTGTGACGTCACGGTGCGGTATCGGCTGTTGATCAAGTCCCAGTGCTGTATCTGGTGTTTGTCACAACGCGCTATTATCCAAGTCATCTTGAAAACATTCTTCTTCCAAATGTTGGCTACATATTACGTGTTTTTTCTCTGGCCAGAAGTTCGATGGCAAATCCTCCCTCTTCAAGTTGGCGATCCAACGACCAACCCGTCCGTGGAGGATCAGGAATCAGAAAGGTGGAATAACTATTTTTTCACTTCTACCCGATGTATTCCACCATCCAGCTGCCATGCACGTGGGCATTGTCAGTTTCACTATAGCTCTGGTGAATTTCAATGGTGAAGTCCTCTGGAAATCTTCAATAATTGTTGTTGATTGCAGATGTGTCTAGTAGTTCCCATTGATTTTGCTTGTAAAGCGGGGAGAATGGCGCTAGGCTTACCGCACCGTGACGTCACTGCTGGAAGATGGCAGGAGGGAGGGGCTACTATATTTGGGTAAAAATGGCCGCTCCTGGATTTTGTGATTGCAACGAAAATTATTGTTTTTATTCTTTTACTGATTAACGCTAAATTTATTAAATTGGCACAAACTTATTAGTTTTAGGTATAAATAATGATCCATTGATTATTCCAGACTTTACCTTAAAAAATGCTATTACACGAAAAGTTATGAAAATATATCTATTTCTATTATTGCATACCAGTGCTGCATCATTATCCCTTCCCAGTATGCTTATAACTGGGTAATACATATTCTTGTTTCTTATATTTAAGTCTACCATTGCAAACATTTTCTGTTTCTTCTCTAAGGAGCTATTCTGATGTCACTCTGTCCCTGCTGGGTTACTTCTCTCTCCTCATCATCTGGATCCACCTGCATAATCCCTCTTCCCTTCCTGCTGCTCCAGTTGCAAAACAAACACATTATTTGGACATGTTTGTTTGCATCCACTTGTAGCCTTTGGAGCCTTTATTTCTTTCAGCTTCTCTGCACTAAAGATCTGATCTCCTCTGTCAGCAGTGAGGGGAGAGACGGGCCGACGATGGCTAAGCGTTTAAAAAGAAATATTGGTCCTAATATTGACCCCATTTGATTGGATACAAATAATTTTTTAATGCTTTCATTAGCATTTTGAAAATTGATATATGAGTTATTAAATATATATTAATTTTTTATGATAAATACATTTACATGATACTATGACAGCCTTGGGACTGCCCAAAAAAGGAGTGTCAGCCCACATGGCACTCACAATGGCCAGTCCAGCCCAACGAGAATGGGATCTGTAAAACACACTTTGAAAAGAATGCAATTCATAAAACTCAATCTGAAAATATATAATTTAAAAAGTAAATTATAAAAAAATAATGAAATATTAAAAGTATAGTGGAGGATTTTTGCAAATTTTTTGAAACTCTCCGCTTAAAAAAAAAGCATATGCAAAACCCTGTACCTGCTCCAGAGAGTGAACACCTATTAAACGCGTGCGAGAGCGTGCATTAGCCCAGTTTTCCTCATGCACGCTCTGTTTAAAAGTTGCTGTTCTCATAGCTCATACAAGCTTACTGTGTCTGAACGTCTGCCCTGACCCCTAAATCCCTCAATCACTATATAGAGCGGGCTCTATATAGTGGACTATAGCAAACTCAGTTAACTGACCATTCAGACAGATGCTCACTGCTTTTTGCTCCTCGTTGTTCACATAACTCCTTCTCCACCGCGTGGAGCCTGCACCATCTTTGTTATTAGTCGCCGCTGTCGATAGCAACAGACTATGGCGACAGACTATGGCGACAGACTGTGGCGACAGACTGTGGCGACAGCGGGCCGCTGTGAGAGCAAATCCCATAATGCTTTGTGAGGAGAGCAATCCGTTCAAAGCATTTTAGTTTATTTCTTCCTCTTCTGAGACATTTCTTTTCTTTTCATATACCTCGTAGTCACTTTTTCTCTTACGACCCTCGGCCATTTTCAAAGAACCGCGATGGGAAAGGTGATCTTCAATGACCGTCTGAAACCGTAGCTAACCTAAGATATGCGGCTGAAAGTGTGCATCGGCAGAAAAATATAGCTAACGAGACAAGATGGCCTTATGTAAATATTTCACCGGAATGATTGACAGTTAGGCGGACCACTTATTTAGATGATCCACCTGGAAATAAAAGATTGTCCTCTATACCTTTAAAAAAAGATGAAAACAAACTATTTGACAAAATTATTGGAGAAAACAGCAAAGTTTCTCTCAAAAACCTTTTAGGAAACTGAATTCTTCTCTTGCAACTATAATGGAATAAAATCCCCCCCATTGCCATGCCAGTTACCATAGCAACTGGACAGCATGGTTCTCATTGTCAAGGCTATGTACTTCAGCATACCAACACACACTCATGCATTACTCTACAAATATCCCCACTAACATGGCCTACGGTGCTCATGTTGGACAAAAGAAGCGGTGTGTGTGTGGGTGTGTGTGTGTGTGTGTGTGTGTGTGTTATCGGTCCACACACACAAAGAAAAGCCTGGATTCTGCACCAACAGGTGGCCAAACAGTAGCTGACTGCAACACCTTCTCCTTCTTATCAGTTACGCTGGCATCCAATCAGCAGGTACTTACTGCCAAAGCTCAATCAACAAATGAACAGTAAACACATCTGACAACATGGCAAGATTCCTCCTCTTCCTCTGCACCCTCCATGTCAATCCAGTTGGAATCAGTGACATTTCTTAATTAATTTGACTGCTTTGCCAAATGTAAGAAAAGTACTTCAGTCTCACAGTAGAAGAGATATTTGTGGCAGAAGGGGAATCAGGATCCGCATCCTTACCTCATCCCATTTAATGAAGTTGCTTCCGTTCCTCAGGGTGTGTGAGACACGGGGAGGCTGGAGTTTCAGCGCATGGACCCCTGGCTGAGCACTTGCCATGGCTTCACACACACATTAAACTCTCCCCCCGCACACTCAGAGAGATGCTGGAGATGCTCAAACACCAGGAGGATGCGTCTCAACCATGTTCCGCCAAAACTCTTCAGAAGTCAGAAGCTCTGCTGCAGCAGCATCTTCTCCTCCTTTTCCTTTATCATTTCACTCCTCTTTTTGCACTCCCCTCTCTCTTTGCTCTGCCTCTCCTTTCCTCACACCTCCCTCTCCTCTTCCTCCCTCCCTCCTTGGGCTCGTCTCCCCCTCTCTCCTCTGTTGGTGCTGCATCTCGCAGAGAGACAGACTGAAACAGATGCCTTCGTGGGAGACAGGATGCGCGCGTGTGCGTGAGGCGAGCACGTGCACGTCCTGCCTCCGCAAATTGACTCATCTCTGACATGCGCACAATGGCAGCTTCCCACAGATGGGGGAGGGATAAGCGAATGCGGGAGCTGGAGTGACAAGAAGATAGGAGGAAAGGAGGTAGATAGCAAAGTGGAAAGGAAAAAAAGGAGATAAAAGACAGAAGGAAGCAAAGACAATGTTTGGAGTTACATGAGGCCGCGTTTGAAGACACCATCAAGTATGCAGAGATGCACCGTCCCATCCATATGTTTGTCACAGGCATTAATCTGCTTCCCTTCCTCTGGGAAGGCTGTCCATGATATTCCGAAGCCTAGTTTGAGGGATTTATTCCTGGTCAACCTTAATGAGCTTTGTCATGGAGCTTAGAAGAAAAGAAAGCCCCTGGATGCTTCAGTTTATTTCTATAGCTCCAATTCACATTATGTCATCTCAAGGCACTTTACAATTCAACCAGGTCAGCCAGTCAAATTGATTCAAAGTTTTCTATCTAAGGAAAACCAGTTGATTGCATCGACTAATTAACTCAAAGATAATCCCTCACACTAAGCATGCTTGTAGCGACAGTGGAGAAGAAAAACAGAAGAAACCTCCAGCAGAACCAGGCTCAGTGTGAGCGGCCATCTGCTGAGGCCCACTGGGGTTCAAGGAGACAGAAGCAGACATAGAAAAAGAAGCATAGATACAAAAGGCAACTGTCAACCAGCTCCACAGGCGGCACCATCCAGGAAACACACAGCCAGGTAGACGAGCTCCGAGCCAGCTCCCATGTCAGAGGATGAAGAGAGCACATCCAGTTAGTCACAGTCAGAGTTCCGACATGGACAACTAATTGCTTTTTTTTTTTTACCATGAATAAAATGCAATTCTGCTTTGCATTACTGATGATAAACGTATCTGACTATTGTAAATATGAAGTAGACAATTCAGTTTATTTATACAGCATCAGTTCACTTCACGTAATCTTAAGGCACTTTAGAAATAATAATATAACAATAATCAGATCATCCAGTCAGATCGGTTAAAGGTTTTATTTTAAAGCAAAACCAGCAGATTGTATCCAGTCATTGGATTTGCAGGTTTCTCTCGTCCTGTTTGAGCACGTAGAGATATTCTTTTTCATTGTGTTCCTGTCTCTAAAGAAATCCCTCACACTGTGCATGCCTGAAGCGACAGTGGGGGGAAAAAACTCAGTTTTAATAGAAAGAAACCTCCAGCAGAAGCAGGGTTAGTGTGAGCGGCCCTCTGCCAATGGCAACTTGGGTTTAAGGAGACAGAAGTTTACATACAAGACGCTTATAGAAGCATTGATCTATAAATAATTTCTATGTTAGAAAAGGAACCTGTAAAATAGCTCCACAGGTGTCTCTGCCTATGAAATAGGCAATCAAGCAGGAAACTTAGCCAGTTCTCATTCTCAAAGGCTGACAGAGAGCGCATACAGTTAAAGCTGAACCTATAGCTATGTCCTCCAGCAGTCTAAGCCTATAGCAGCATAACTATAGAGATAACTCAGGATAACCTGAGCCACTCTAACTATAAGCTTTATCAAAAAGGAAAGTTCTAAGGCTAGCTTTAAAAGTAGACAGGGTGTCTGCCTCACAGACTAAAACTGGTTGTCCTTTTAAAATGATGTCATTTAACAAGGAGAAAAAGCTACCAAATTCTGTTTCATAAAGATTTATTAAGTCCCATGATCTTAATCTTGGAATAATTTTGGCCTACTTTTGTTTACAGAGTTGCCTTAAATTAAGTTCTTGGTTTTGAATTTTGAATTGGTTTGGGAATTTGTTTTGTTACATTTTGAATTGAAAAAGGTTCCTGGATGGGAAGCTAAACGTTTTCAAACCTTGGAAACAAAGACCAGTGGATTGTTTTTTAAACTTTTTCAGAATGATTATGACCTGTATGACTGAGAATCTTCACCAGCATAAGTTCTTGGTTACACATTTTAGGAAAAGTCACCCAGGTCTATAATCAACAGGCCATAATAAGATTGTCATACTGCTGCCATCATGTTTTACACCTATTTCTCTCTGAATGGCAGTGTTCATTTTAAACCAAATGTAACACCTTCCAAAAAGTTCAGCTTCTGTCTTGTCGGTCCATGAAATATTATATATTATATACAATTTAAGGATTTTATGATCCTTCCAGGGAAATTTCAGAGGGTTGTTCATGTCGCTATGGGTGTCATCAGCAGTAAAAAAAAATATATAAAAAAACAGTAGCCATTGAGTTGAGTTCTCTCATGGTGCCATTTTTACCTAAACCGATCTAAAAGGGCATGCTGAGCTTTAGAAATTGCTTTAGGGTATTTTATGATTTCCTGGGTTATTTGTCGATAGACTCCTTTGAGTAATTTCTTTGACTCACCCATACTGAGAAAGTTCCTCACTGTTCCTTGGTTCTATTCATTTGAGGATTATGACTCTGTCTGGTTTCCTGCAGTTCAAAACCTTTAAAATAGTTTTGTTGCACCTCTTCCCACACTGGTATGGAGGGAATTTTGTTGCAAACAAAAAACACTTTTTGTAAATGAAAATCTCCAAAGGGGTTTGGTTAAATGCAGAGTTAATTCATTGCTTTGTGCTTATAACAGTGTAATGACAATAAAGTTCAATTCTATTAAAAGTTTGAAAAAGTTAAAATTTGAATGTCAGAGTAAAAAATAAATTTAAACCATTTTTTTTCTTTATTACAAAGTTTCATTACCCGATTGCATTTTTTATTTATTTCCATTGCAAAAACATGTTCTTTGCTTAAGATAGATTGATAGATATCAATGGATTCCTTCATGTCTTTTGATGGAAAGAAAAATAAAGAAAACTCCTGTTACTACAGATCTTGTTGCCTTTAGAAGGTTCTGTTAAAGGTGTAGCAGAGAATTTTTTATCAGGTGGATCATACAGGTGCTGGTCATAAAATTAGAATATCATGAAAAAGTAGATTGATTTCAGTAATTCCATTTAAAAAGTGAAACTTGTATATTATATTCATACATTACATACAAACTCATATATTTCAGATGTTTATTTTGTTTAATTTTGATGATTACAAATGACAACAAATGAAAATCTCAAATTCATCATATCAGAAAATTAGAATATTACTGAAGACCAATAAAAACAAAGGATTTATAGAAATGTTGGCCAACTGAAAAGTATGAACATGAAAAGTATGAGCATGTACAGCACTCAGTATTTAGTTGGGCCTCCTTTGGCCTGTATTACTGCAGCAATGCGGCGTGGCATGGAGTCGATCAGTCTGTGGCACTGCTCAGGTGTTATGATAGCCCAGGTTGCTCTAATAGTGGCTTTTAGCTCTTCTGAATTGTTGGGTCTGGTGTATTGCATCTTCTTCTTCACAATACCCCATAGATTTTCTATGGGGTTAAGGTCAGGAGAGTTTGCTGGCCAATTAAGAACAGGGATACCATGGTCCTTCAACCAGGTACTGGTAGCTTTGGCACTGTGTGCAGGTGCCAAGTCCTGTTGGAAAATGAAATCTGCATCTCCAAAAAGTTGGTCAGCTGCAGGAAGCATGAAGTGCTCTAAAACTTCCTGGTATGTGGCTGCGTTGACCCTGGACCTCAGAAAACACAATGGACCAACACCAGCAGATGACATGGCACCCCAAACCATCACTGACTGTGGAAACTTTACACTGGACTTCAAGCAACGTGGATGAAGTGCCTCTCTTCTTTTCCTCCAGACTCTGGGACCTTGATTTCCAAAGGAAATGCAAAATTTACTTTCATCAGAGAACATGACTTTGGACCACTCACCAGCAGTCCAGTCCTGTTTCTCTTTAGACGCTTCTGACGCTGTCTGTGGTTCAAGAGTGGCTTGACACAAGGAATGCGACAGCAGAAACCCATGTCTTTCATACGTCTGTGTGTGGTGGTTCTTGAAGCACTCACTCCAGCTGCAGTCCACTCTTTGTGAATCTCCCCCACATTTTTGAAGGGGTTTTGTTTCACAATCCTCTCCAGGGTGCGGTTATCTCTCTTGCTTGTACACTTTTTTCGACCACATCTTTTCCTTCCCTTCGCCTCTCTATTAATGTGCTTGGACACTGAGCTCTGTGAACAGCCAGCCTCTTTAGCGATGACCTTTTGTGTCTTGCCCTCCTTGTGCAAGGTGTCGATGGTCGTCTTTTGGACAACTGTCAAGTCAGCAGTCTTCCCCATGATTGTGTAGCCTATAGAACTAGACTGAAAGACCATTTAAAGGCTTTTGCAGGTGGTTTGAGTTAATTAGCTGATTAGAGTGTGGCACCAGGGGCCATCAATTTTGAACCTTTTCACAATATTCTAATTTTCTGATATGATGAATTTGAGATTTTCATTTGTTGTCATTTGTAATCATCAAAATTAAACAAAATAAACATCTGAAATATATGAGTTTGTATGTAATGTATGAATATAATATACAAGTTTCACTTTTTAAATGGAATTACTGAAATCAATCTACTTTTTCATGATATTCTAATTTTATGACCAGCACCTGTATAAATAAGTGGTCCTCTTAATTGTCAATCATTCAGGGGATATGTTTAAGTAAGGCGGCTTTGTGCTCCTTCCGTTAGCTATCTTTTTCTGCACATGCGCACTTTCAGGCATATATCTATGGTGAACTATGGTTTCAGACAGTCAATGAAGCTCACCTTTCCCACCATGGTTCTTTCAAAATGGCAGAGGGTCGTAAGAGAAAGAGTGTATTCGAAGTGTATTAGAAGAAAAGAAAGGCCTCGAAAGAGGCAGATATATCCAGGAGTGCTTTGCCCGGGGGGGCTTCCCCACAAAGCATTATGGGATGTTGCCATAGGCTGCCACTACCTGACAGCGGACGACTAATAACAAAGATGGCACATGCACCGCGCAGAGGAGGAGGAGTTACATGACCAATGGGGAGTAAAAAGTAGTGGTCCTCTGAACGGTCAGTTAACTGAGTTCCA